GATTCGGTGCCGGACCTGTTGGTAGCTTGAGGTAGCTGCCTTTAGTCCAGGGAGACCAAGGTAGATCTGCTGGCATTCGCAGAGCCTGAAGTCCCCCCTTTTCCCCACTTTTAGTTTTCTGTTGTCTCTTCTATTTCGAGAACAGTTGTACTTCTTTCAGACTTGTATTATTAGTAAATCTTAGACGTTCGTGGATTGTGACACCAGATCTATGGGGTAGTTATGTACTTGGGTTATGACACTGTTACTTCATTTCCTCACTTCTTAATTATTTTTTTTTAATTAATATCTGTCCCTGTTTGGTTAATTATAATGGTAGTAAAATTGTAACTGTCGGCTTGACTAGCTTTCATGAGTAGGCGCCATCACGATTTCCGAAGGTGGAAAATCCGGGTCGTGACAAGTTGGTATCAGAGCTCTAGGTTGCTTAGGTCTCACAATTCATGAACAAGCTAGGTAGAGTCTGAGGGATCGGTACGGAGACGTCTGTGCTTATCCCTAGAGGTTATAACTATCCCTAGAGGTTATAGTTATATAATTATTTCTCATTATTAACAAATTTATTTCTTTTGTTTTCATATTAGTGTTTAATAACTTAATTACTTCCTCTAATTAATATAACCGAAATAGATTTCTGTCAATCTTATTTTACGTTTTAACTGAATTCTTTTTNGGCATTAAAAGAGCTGCATGGAACTGGAAAAATGAAGTACAATGGGCAATAGAGAACACCACAAAGAAGACTGTTTACCAGGAGACATACAGAATGACCTTAGCTTGTGGAGTATATCATGTGTGGCTGGAAAGGAATAGAAGGATATTCAGAGAATGCAGCAGAACAGCAGACCAAGTAGTGAAGCAGGTGATAAGAGAAATCCATGTGAGAGCTTGCAAAAGCAGTAGATTAGATAGATACATGAATGTTTTGATATTCTATCCTTAGAAGCTAAAAACATGTAATAAAGATGATATAGAAGCATACAGTAAGTTTGGGAACTGCCTGTCCAAACTGCTGATTACGGAGGAAGCATGTAAATGGTTTGAGATGATATAAAATATAAATATTTCAAAAAAAAAAAAAATCTTAATACTGACTAGTTAATTAGTATCATCCAAAGTGTTGCTTTTGCTAGATCTACATGAAAATGTTAAATCATTTAATTCTGAAACATATTTTAGTATAGTAATACAAGAACAAGCAGTTGATACCAAAAGTCAACCAAAAAAAAAAAAAAAATTAGGAGCGAATCATCGACGGACGACAACTCATATCAAGTTTATCTTTAAAATGAGAATTAGTGTATTATGGTTGCTTCGAGGAACAAGTAGTTCATATAATTGAGGCAAAAACTCTGCTATAAATAAATAGCCCTATAAATCCAAATGAATAATCCTGCACATCACAACTTGGTTTCCTTAATATTAATTCTTCAAAGCAATTAAAAATATAATTAGACAAAAGACTATGGAGAAGTTAGCTCAAGTGGTTGCTTTTTTGCTTCTTGCATCTCGTTAGTTCTTTTCCTACTCTTACACATACATTTATTTCAATTTTTTTGTTTTTCTTTTTTAATTCACATGTATTTCTATATATTGATAAAAAGGAAAACTTATTCACATTATTCTTTGAACAGTCTTTCAACCTTTCATGTCTCAGTCCGATGATGGTTGCCCAGGTTTGGGTTTTACTCTTTTGTCTCCTGCTTCTTCCAATATTGTTTACCCTAGCTTCATTTATTGAAGTTTATATATAATTATGTAATAAGAGTTTTGGAGCAATAGTAAAGTTGTCTCGTGAGACTTATAGGTTACGGGTTCGAGCTGTGAAATCATGCGACTGATGCTTGCATCCGGTAGGATGCCTACATCACACCCCTTGGGATCCGGCGCTTACCCGAACCCTGTGTGCATGCGGAATGCTTCGTGCACTGAACTGCCCTTTGTTTTTATATATATAATGATTGTGCTTTCGTAATATATTTGTCTCTTGATTATATGTAAACTATAGGAGTGAAAAAGGAGACATGGCCAGAACTTCTAGGGGTACCAGCTAAGTTAGCAAGGGAAACAATTGAGAAGGAAGAAGCAACACTAACTAATGTTCAAACTGTACTGAATGGGAGATTTGTGACACAAGATTTTAGATGTGATCGAGTTCGTCTCTGGGTTAATGTGTTGGATTTTGTTGTACAAACTCCTCGGGTTGGTTAAGGAAAATTATTTAAGTATTTAAATAAATTGGAGCCGCAAAGTCCCATGCAAAGAGATTCACAAGAAGACATATAAGAACTCAAATGACACACACAAAACATCCAATTAATTAGAGAAATGGAGCCGAAGGATGAATATGATTAAATTATCTCGTGACATGCGCTTTTGAAGTTTTTGGAAACATATACTCGATGGATATTATTTGGTCAAGTTAAAAGAAATTATGAAATTTGATCACCATGTTCAAATGGTGAAGGATACATATGATGATACTTTTACTGATACTTTTGAGTATTAAAAACTAATAACAACGTATAGCTGTTGGTTAAAGTAAGTAATATAGAGTACAAATTAAGAGTTTAGTGTTTGAATTTGAGTGCCTTTCTAAATTAAAGTAACTTGATTTTTTGCCTTATTCCGTATGCGTAAATGAAATAAACAGTAAAAATAAGAATATCAATTTTTACGTGAAAAATCACCCGGTTCAAAAATGCAATAATCACGATCTATCACGTAGGATTTTAACTTCAACTTCACTAGAACAAATGAGTCAAATGTACTGATTACAAGACATGTAAACCAATACTCACACATTTCTCCTACTTCAACTACTTGAATGAATTACAAGTTACTCTAACTTGCACACTCAAACGATTACTTCAACTAACAAGTTTTGAATGACGTCTTGATTACAACTCGATTTTCTAATATACTCATGAACTAACAGAGTCAAGAAGAACACTGACACTGATGATCAACTTGAGTGTTGAACTCGAAATATTATATTTCGTTCTTCAGTTGATGTACAAAAGGATAGTCTTCTCAGTCCATAGGAAAAGTACTCCACGAATCTTGTAACTATTGTCAGGGCTGGCCAGACCCTAAAGCAAGTGAAGGTCCCAAGAATTTAAGGGCCCCAAAATTACTATTTTTTAATTTATATATACTACATAATTTATATAATTATTTCTCATTATTAACAAATTTATTTCTTTTGTTTTCATATTAGTGTTTAATAACTTAATCACTTCCTCTAATTAATATAACCGAAATAGATTTCTGTCAATCTTATTTTACGTTTTAATTGAATTCTTTTTCTTTATTCATCGGTTAGTCGCGTAACTATATCCAATAATCTAATTTATCATTTATTTCCTCACATAAGTTATAATTCATCTGTCCCAATTTATATGAAGGTGTTTGACTAGACATGAAGTTTACGAAATAGAGGAAGAGTTTTGAAACTTGTAATCTAAAATAAACCATAGAACTTGTGTGGCTAGAAATCGTCTCACTAAGGGTGAAAAGAAAATTTTAAAGTTGAATTATTATCAAATATAAAAAAGGGGCTGACTAAAAAAAAGGTGTCACATAAGCTGGGACGGAGGAACTTTGGTTTATGGTTTATGATTTCTCTCATTTCAGTTGTGATGCAATCAAAGTTAAATTCGTTCAATTTTTTATACTTATAAAACCTTGTCCTCATTCTTTTTTATTTCAGACACTCACTTATTGTCACGACCCAATTCCCATACCGGTCGTGATGGCGCCTCTCGTGAAGACAAGGCCAGCCAACTAACCCAAATCCTTTCACTAACAATTATTAAACATAAATGAATAGAAGATACAACTTAATGGCATTAGAAACTGTTAATTACTACCCGATCGGGGTGTCACAAGTCACGAGCATCTAAGGAAACCTTAACACAACTACAGGCCAATAAATATATACAAGTAAAATTGCTGGAAAACAAAAGACAATATCCGGTGCCGCAAACGCTGGCGGTCACCTTGCTCAGCTACAATAACAATACCTTCAATCCGCTAATAACCCGCTACCGGGTGAACGCTACCTGCAACTGCACGCGAGGTGCAGGGAGTAAAGTGAGTACTTCCAACTCAGTGAGTAATAAGAGTAAATAATAACTGAGAGGCAAGAAATCACGTAAGAGCACTCCAGCATGCTATATAGGACAGTACAACCCTTTGAGAAAACAGTAAAACCGTGAAAAATCCTTTAGAAAATATCTGGCTCAGTTTAAAAACCTCTTTTGAAAATATCCTTTTCCAACAGTCAAGCAAATGAATGCGTAATCAGAAAGTGCAAGTCCGCACATAAGTCAGCCCCTCGGGCACAGCACTCCATCAACAAATAACACCAAGGTATCTGGTAAACAGTGCAAGAAGTAGCATGGATGCCAATGATATGAGAGTGCTGAATGTCATGACACGTAGTACAAATAGGTACCAATGCATGAATGCAATGCAATGCACATGACCGCTGCGGCGCGCAGCCCGATCCATTTGGGTACCCGCGCTCACTGGGGGTGTGTACAGACTCCGGAGGGGCTCCTACAGCCCAAGCGCAATATCATCATAGTATCGCTGCGGCGTGCAACCCGATCCATATTCAGTCCAAATCAATGCAAATGAGCCACTCGGGCAATGTCAAGTAATAGCTTTTAACTCAAAACATCAGAACATGCAATTTAAGTCTTTAAACTTTAGCAATATGACTGCACATTTCAAACCTGTGTTTAACTCAGGACTGAAGTCATTTAACATGCTAAGTGTCATGAAAACAGCAATAATAATCCCTAAAGGATTCAAATAATCGGCACGAAGCCCAAAACATGGCAATCAGCCCAAATCACGATAGCATCAAGCAGGTTTTAGTCAATTACGCAGTAAAATCAACAACCGGGACGGACCAAGTCACCATCCCCAACGGTGCTCTACCCCACGCTCATAGCCGGCGTGCAAGTCACCACAATACAGCACTATGATGTGCAAATCCGGGGTTTCAAACCCTCAGGATATCATTTACAAGTATTAGTCACCTCGAACCGGTGAAATCTCTAGCTCGCGACGCCTTTGCCCCTCGAATCGGCCTCCACGCGCGTCAAATCTAACCAAAATCAGAGCGAATACATTACAATATGCCAAGGGAACAATACCCAATCGAAAATAGCCAAGAAATAGCAGAAATCTCGAAACTAGCAAAACCCGAGCCCCAGGCCCGCTTCTCGAAAAATTACAAAATTCACATTACCGGATTCCTCGTCTCGCCACGAGTCCATACATACTAAGAACTCCCAAATCCGAGCTCAAATGACCTATCAAATCCTAATTTGAAATATCAGCAAGCCCTAGCTTTACCCCTTTTAATGAATTCCAACCAATTTCCATGTTAAATTTAACAAAATATCGAGTATTTAGGCCAAGGAACTTACCTCTAATCATTCCTCCTTGAATCCCTCTTCAAAATCGCCTCAAAGCTCTCAAAGCTCGCTCAAAATGGTGGAAAAATACATAACCCTCGCGGATGAAATATTATAATAAAAACTCCCTTCTGAACAGTTCTTTCCGCTTTTGCGGTCCTTTTGTCGCTTCTGCGACACCGTTTTTGCGGTTACTTATCCGCTTCTGCGGTTCCTCAACTTTTCCCCATGACCGCTTCTGCGGTCAACCAATCGCGTAAGCGGGTCCGCTTGAAAAATCTCCCAGGCCCATTTTCGCTTCTGCGGGCCCCCTCTCGCTTCTGCGTGACCGCTTCTGCGGTCCATTTCCGCAGAAGCGGAAATACCCCGGGTCCAGCAGCCTTTAAACTCCAAATTTTATCCCGTTAACCATCCGAAACCACCCCGAGGCCCCCGGGACCTCAGCCAAAGGCACCAACATACCCCAATACATCATACGAACTTGCTCCAATCATCAAAACACGCCTAACAACACTAAAATCATCAATTCACATCGGATTCAAGCCTAAGTTCTTCAAGAACTTTTGAAATGCACTTTCGATCAAAAACCCGACCAAACGATGTCCGAATGACCTGAAAATTTGCACACATATCCAAAATCACTTAACGAAGCTACAGCAACTCTCGGAATTCCATTCCGACCCCCGGATCAAATTTTCACCCATCCACCGGAATTCGCCAAAATACTAACCTCGCCAATTCAAGCCTAATTCTACACCGGGCCTCCAAAATCAATTCCGATCGCACTCCCAAGTCACAAATCATCCCCCGAAGCTAACCGAATCACCGGAAATCACATCCGAGCCTTCTAATTCATAAGTCAACGTCCGGTTGACCTTTCCAACTTAAGCCTTTCTTAAAGAGACTAAGTGTCTCATTTCCTATCCAAACCAATTCAATTCAACTATAACTCACTCGTTGCTGATACTGAAACATGAAGAAGCAGTAAATGGGGGAAACGGGGCTGTAATACATGAGACGACGGGTCGGGTCGTCACATCCTCCCCAACTTAAACCAACGCTCGTCCTCGAGCGTACCTAGAGTTGTCCTAGAAGCTAACCAACAGCTGAATAACTTTACCAAGCATATACCCGGGGTGATCTCACGTCACCCTATCTCATATAGGTCCGACAACACAATATAGCCGAAATCTCACAGTCCATTTAAACCATAAACCATAGAACCACATTGCACTTTCCGAAATCATACACAATATCAGAACCTCACATCTATACCCAGAATAAACCTGAACCAGCTGTAATAGCCCATACATGCAACCTCAGGTGAAATCATATGATATACCACATAATCCAAACACTCGAAACGATAGCCTCTATTTACAGCAGTTGCCCATAATAACCAACTACCGATAGAAAACCTTTTATTAGCTAAAGTCTTATTCCAACACTTCCATATACTGCCAACAACAAATGAAACACGCGATAAACCGTAACCATTCCTCAGATCAACCATTCATGAAGCCACTTCCCTTTGACTAATATCACAACAGATTTCCGGGCCATACCTTGATATTATCTCTCTAACAAGCTGCAATCAATTCTGTT